TGAAGCTCCTTTGACATGCAGGTGCCAGCAGTATGTTTTATGAAAAGATGTCTGGATCAACTTCCTGAACACGCTTCCTTCTTTGTTGCTAAAATAATGTTTATAGTAGAATACCAATATTACACCTAAATCATTAAGATACCTACACAATGTTTTCACTAGTAATTCAGGCTTTGCACCTGTGTTTTGATTCAAAGGAATCCTAAATTGAGTTCTGTAATTCAAATAGTCACCGTTTCAATTTAAAAATACAGAATGTGTTGATGCAACATGGAACTTCAGAACTTTTCAGGCATAATAATAGCTTAAAATATGAGCTGGTGATATTGCTTAAGGTAATTCTCTGCCATAAGAATGAGACGTGGGAAAACAAAGCCCTGGTTTGGTAACCCTCACCACTCACAAATTAGGATCACCTGAAGACTCTTGCACTTAGATGCATGTGATGTAATTAATTACATATGTAAAATCATTATTACTGTATTATGAACTACTCTTTTCAGTTCTTTATTATTTAAGAATCCGTATTAAAATACTTTATTTCCTCAAATAGACAATGAATCTGATCATAAGATGACCCACCAATAATTAGATACTATATATGGAAAATGTATACATTAATTTTAATTTGCGAGGTATACAATCTAATTATTGGAAATTATCCTTGAATTTGTCTCCCTCCCACAGCAGGGAAAATAAATCTTGGGGGTCAAGTAGCCTCTTTGCTTTCTGCTTCCCCACAACTTTTTCCCCTAGCAGCCCCTCCCCTCTCTCCTCACTGGCAGACTCCCCCTACTCCCCAAGCACATGGAAGTGAGGATCAAAGTTGAAAACAATAACCTTGAAATCAAATATGGCTGTAGCAATTTGTATAGAGTACTCATACACTTAATTCATCCAGAATTGATGCATGTTAGCACAGGTACTCCATAAACACACTTTACAGCACCACTTTGGCCCCTATTTACATGAAGTATAATCTATGCATGATATTAGTCCAAAGCCAAAGGCTTGCAATTTCCCACATAGTTCATTGGGCTGTTCCCTACCAGGGTCAACAACATTTCAAGTTGTGCTGACCCCACAGCTCCACACTGCTCAGTATGTGTGTGTACTCCAGATACCCTCTATAAAGGATCTATATGCTAATTAGCCCCACTCATAACAGGAACTGGGTGTTCTTGTGAGTTCTGAGATGCTCAAAACTGTTTATGTGGATAAGGCACAGGGCAACCTGGGTTGGCTTCACTTCACGGAGGACATGGCCACGTTAATCATGTGCAATGCACCAGGCTGAGAAAGGAGTTGCAGAGAGATTCTGAGTGAACTGTTTGGGGCCCTGTTTTCCAATGTCTGCCAGACATTTAAGCCTGGTGAAGAAACAGGAATCATTAGAAATGGGGGAAAAGGTGCAGCTCAGCTGTGGGAGCGGAGAAGAAGTAAAAATGTATGCAATGTAGTGGCTCACTATGACTTGAAAAACAGTTGGTGGTGAGGGGAACTGCACTTATGGGAACTACCTTGGGTCTTATTCAGAGGGACTGCATTAACATATCCTTGTG